AAAATATTTAGCTTAATATATAAGTTCATGTGGTAGAGTGACATGTTAAATTAAGTACTAGTAGTAAAATAATACAAATACAAAGCAAATATTAAAAGTTCATCTGAAAAAATGGGATAGTTGGTTGGATAATTTTATTATAAGCTAGAAATAAACAGGAAAGCCTACAGCAAATTTGAAAGGAAATTTTTGTTTGTTTTTATTCTCATAACTTTTCTGCTTACATAAATTTTCAAATAAAAAAATCAACTCTTCTTGATTTTTTACATATAAAGCTTTACGATTCGTCTGGAATGTGCATTCTAAAATAGAAATTATGTAAAAATCTTTTGCTCCATAGAAACGTGCCTTTTCGCGATTTACAACAAGGCATACTTTAATAAAAAATTAATTAATAGTTAAAATTAATTCTACATATGACAATTTGTGTAAGTCAAATAATCCCCAGATCGGATGGCTTCAATCAATTTCTCTGTGGGAAGAATTATGTTCTAGATATAATCCAATAGTTAAACCGCGGTAGGTACTTTGATCATATTAGAGAAGAAGATAATTTTTCGGGGATAATGTACCTATCAAATCAGATCCCCGCCTCACATCTCCTTTAGGACAACTTGGACAAATCTCTAGTTCTAATCATTACAGCTCTACACAAAAGTTTTCTCACTCCCACGTGAAACAATGGCAACTCCAAATTTGCAGAGGTCGATAAAATCTTCAATTTCATTTGTAGCATCTTTACAAAGATGTTTAAGAAGTATTTTGATAGTATATAAGGTTTACTTATCACTAACTGTAATTTCGGGGATTCTCATTATTATCATCATCAACTTTGACCTTTGATTGTTTGTCAGTACTTTCAAACATAATTATCACAAAGTCAGATTCGCTATAGTGCCGAATGTATCTGTGTAACCAGTCATTTTCTCCATTTCTTGCTACCAAAGGAATTTTACTAATGAATGAACTCTTTTACGTTTATTCAATTACCAAAATGTATATAACTTACCATAAAACCCTAAAGGTTAATGTCTGCATGAGGGGGTGTGCGATAGACTTACCTCCACGTGGTGCACCCTGGGCAACGTATTGTCATACGGCAAAAAGTCTATTAACCGGCAATTGACCTCTGACTTCAAACTACCCCCACTGTATGCCATATTCAACCCATTTTGGAGTACTCATCTTACCTTTTCTCCGCTCTTTTGTCTGTCTCCGTCACATCTGTGAATCATTATTCTGTCCCCCCTTTCGACTTTTTGTCACTTTGATGTTCCTCCTCCTCTCTGTGAAGCCTGAAGTCAGCTAAATGGCTAATGATAACTATCAAAACGCCTGCCATTTGAAATAAATAAATAAATGTCTGCATGAGTGCTGACCCTGTCATGCGCGCACGATGGTTTATATTTCGGCTTGACCACGCTGAGTAGTACACAAATAATGGTTCATACTTCTTCACCATCAAATGTTTGAATAGTAGTTTTAATTGGTTACTCATTTAACTGAAACATTTCTTTCATCATACCTCAAAGGTTCATCTTTGTCACAATCTGGTTTCTGCCCTTCCAGCACTAACACTTCTTCCGTTCAGTTATAATTACCAGACTTTTGTTTCTCCGATACACATTTATTAGAATTAATTCTTTCTAAAAGCAGTAAGATACAGGTGTCTTAAGGGAAATCCATAGAATTTTAGGATAATTTATCTTGTCCAACTTGGCTAAACCCTTTGAATAGATTAACTATGACGATTATGTTTGTATTATTAATTCTTCATTCTTTTACTAGATATGTTTAGATCTTATCGTCCTACTGTTCTTTTTAACTTATTTTAATGAATTTAGTCCACTTTTGGTAAGAAAAGAGTGTGAAGTGAAAAATAGACTCGATATAATATGTTGGAGGAAAAAGGAATATGATAAGGGGTATTATATGTTAAAAAGATTATTTAATAATTGTATGAACAAAAACAAAGAGATGCCAACAAGTAGGCCAAACCACAATCGACTTAGAATGAATATATGATCACATAGCGAAATAGAAGGATGAGATCTTAAAAATGTTCAAAACTTGCATAATTCAAGCATACCGACTGGACTGTATGATAGTTTAATAATTTATACAGCCCTAAACATGCGCTGATATGTAGAAAACGATTTCGGGTGCTAGATTATATAAGTTACAAATTTATCGAATATATATTCGAAGAAAAATTTCATGGGATTAATGTAAATCTCATCCACTGTATATGTTAGAGAGTAAATTTATGAAAAGAAACAAAATTACTTTCAGGTTGAAGTTGGTCGATGTTATACTCATAATTTATACACGATTGAAATTATAATTATTTGGAATATAATATTCATCGGCCTTGAGCGTAAATAAGCCAATATTCAAGATTCTATCACATACATAAGGAAATCATTGAAAATTCCAATTGAATTCACTAATAAAATAGAAATGAAATGTTATAATTACACCCAATGAGAGATTTTTCCTTTTATTATTTGTCGTTTTCTTACATATAGAAAAGATATTTCCTACTATATTTGATATCAAATAAATGAAAGGCTCTAATAAAATGCTAAGACTATTGATTTAAGGAATTCTGACTAAATATTCAATAACTTTATAATTTATTTTGTTTTCGCTTTAGTCAACTACTGTTGAGGACCTCAAGGTTTTTGCGTCTCACCTTTCGAAGACAATTTGCACATTGAAAGATGGTTGAGAATAAAATAATCAAAGCGGCAATTCTTATTGGTGGCCCTGCAAAGGGCACGAGGTTTCGTCCTCTTTCACTAGAGCTGCCGAAACCACTGTTTCCCATTGCTGGGTATCCTATGGTCTATCATCATATTGAAGAATTTTCCAAAGTCCCATATATGAAAGAGATTATACTTATTGGTTTCTATCAACCAAACGAGACTCTCACTCGTCTCATAAATGATGCAGAAAAAGAATTTGGCGTAAATATTCGGTGAGTCTTTTATGCTAAGAGTTTATTTCCTTGTTCTATGTTAGTTCTACAATTCTTAATCGTATCCTTTTAGTTATCTGCAAGAATTTACCTCTCTTGGAACTGCCGGTGGAATTTTCCAATTTCGAGATCAGATTAGTGCTGGAGGTTTGGATTTGCTTTTTGTAATGAATGCTGATGTTTGCTGTGACGCTCCACTTCAAGAAATGGTTGAATTTCATTCAACTCTTGGTTCAGGAGATAAATTTGTCATTCTTTCCACCGAAGCTACTCGTGAACAATCTATGGAATTCGGATGTATTGTTAAGAATCCTGAAACCAATGAGGTACGTCCTGTCGGTATTTTTATTCTTTAGATTACTCACTATGTTGAAAAACCGGACACTTTTGTCAGCGTTTGTATAAATTGTGGAATCTATTTGTTCACTCCTAGCATTTTCAAGTTTATTCGTATGGCTTTTCTTGAACACCAAAATCAGCAACAGTATGTCCAGTTCATTTGAATTGTCATCACTCCTTAGGACTAAGATTCGAGGGACTTGCAAGGAGGCGATTCAATTGGAGACCGAGATCTTTCAGCCTCTTGCCTCTAGTGGAACTCTCTATGCTTATCATACTGAGCGCTTCTGGAGTCAGCTCAAGCATCCTGGGCAAGTGTAAACGTGTAAAACCCTCATTTGAGCCCCAGTTTACACATTGTTACTTATTTGTAATGTGGAGGTGGTCTCATTGTCCAATTTCCCCCCATATATTCTGGTTAACAGTTCTGATTTGTATTTGTTTTCAATTCATCTTATAATATGCATTTTTGTACTTCAAAGCAGAATAACGATTTACCAGTAGCCACCGTAGTAAAATGGGTGTGATAGAACTGTAGTATTAACACAGCTTGTTTCGTTTATCTATTCCACTCCAGGAATAATGCTATGAACCTATCGCAATTTATTTGTATAATATCTGATAAAATTTTACAATTTTCTTGGCTCGTTATTGCCTATTTATTGAAATGGTCGATTTAAAGGAATGCCGTTAATTTAGATCTAATACGATATTCGGACCCTCTATGTTGGATCACATGGCAAACTCCCTTTGAAACAAGCCAAATTGAGTACGCGCGGCTACACGGTCTAGCTTTTGTCTACCTAAGTCCTAACATGTGTATCCTCATGATAAGTGGATTGTACATGATGAAGATCCTCCTACCTAGTGTACACTTTCATTTATGCCTTATTCGGCATGTTTTGGGTTAAGAACACCTTAAGTCAATTCATTATTCAGTTATCCTTTTTGTGTATTTTTATTGGCGGGCATAATGTCCACTTCGCTTTAATAATTTTTGAGTTGTACGTTAATTTGAAAAGATTTTTTGGTGGCTTTCTGTTCAGTTTTTAACACTTTTTTTATTTCACTTGACCTTTTGTTTCATTTTGTACGTGGGTTTTATGCGCCTTGAGGTTCTCAAACAAATTGTGCATCTTATTTTCGACAAATTTGACTCCTTCCGCGAAGTTATATGCGAAGTATCCAAAGTACTGGATCTTTATGTTAGAATAAAAAAATTAGACCTCGTAGCTAACCAGTTTGCCCGATTTTTATTGCTGTAGTTCCTTGGGCCTTTACTCCCTTTTCTCTAAGCGTTTTCAAGCTATTCATTTTGGCCATATCATCCAAGTATTTTTTTCCTTCTCAAAGGCATTAGCTAAGGTATTTTTAACGTAATTTAATTCGCTCAAGGTAAGCTCACTACATAGTTATTCGATGGCTTTATCCCTCTTCCTTTCCTAGGAAATATACAATTTGCTACTTATAATATCCACGCCACCACATTTTTCAATCTTTCTTTCACTTTTTTAAACCGCCTTTTTTAGATCATGTTCATTTATTTCAACACCAAGTATCCATGTGTAATGATTTGTAATTTTGGACAACACTTTTTTTATGTTATTCTACCATGCATTCAATCTCATAACCACCCCCATGTCATCCTTTAAATATAACTAGCACAATCTATTACCTCACTTATAGCTTGTTAAGAAAACCCATAAAGGTCATCACATTAATAAACACTTACTGTTCCCTCTTTTTCGCCCTTCATAGAGCTGTGATATATGCGAACAGACAAATGTTAAGCCTATACCATCGTACGCATCCTCATCGCTTGGCGACACAAGTCGATTCAACAAACGGCATTTCTAACCCAGCATCTCCTGAGGCTGGATCAGGTGACGGTCAAGCACAAACCAGAACACAGGCTCGCATTATTGGTGACGTATTTCTCCACCCCACAGCTCAGGTTGATCCGAGTGCTGTTTTAGGTCCCAACGTGAGTGTCGGCGCGGGAGTGATTATCGGTGCTGGAGTACGTCTGCGAAACATCATTGTGCTGAAGAATGCAGAGATCTGCGACCATGCTGTCTGCATCAATGCTGTGATAGGTTGGGGGGCCGTCGTTGGTTCATGGGCTCGTGTTGAGGGCACTGCTCCCTATGGCCCGAATCCGAACACTCCCTTCACTAAGCTCGAGGTTGTTCCCGTTTTTAATGCCAAGGGACAGCTTAATCCCTCCATTACTGTCATTGGTGAGCTGACTGTTTACTTTAACTTCAAACCAGATCACACTTACCACATTTCACATCATGATAGAGATCCGCACGACTAGTTGTCTCTCCTTTCTAACTGCTTTGTTTATTGTGGCAAAGCAGTTGACATAAGATAGCAGTCTAATAATGAATAGAGAGGAGACAATCGAAAAAGTTGAGAGTAAGTAGTATTAGGGTGCCAAGAGTCTACTTCAGTTGGTTTCCGCAACTTCATATCGACCTACTGTCCTCGTTCTATTTACAATTTTTATCGAAACGAATTAAATCTAATGGCTTGCGTTAGGTAGAAATGAAATGAATCGCAAATAAGCAGGGCTAATGTATAGAAAATTATGATGTAGCGCATTTTGAAAACCTGTGAAGGATTATGAACTGATCAGCGAAAACATGTATTTGCTAGATTACACCCTATTATATTGAGCCAATTGTAATCGAATGGGTCGACAAAAGCTAGACCGTGTAGTCACACGTACTCAAGTTGTTTTGTTTCAAAGGGAGTTTATCATATGGTCCGACGCTGGGAGTTCGAATATCGCTCAAGGTATAAATTAAAATGGAGTTATAGAAAAGGGTTCAGGGAGACATTTGTGGTAATCGAATATAGCCAACAGAAGGATAAACATTAGCATGGAATATGTCAAAAAAATTGACGAGGAAAATGAAATAATAAATAGTCCTACTACCACAGATGTGGCCTTTTTATTTAGCAAAATAATACTTTTATTATTATGGTATTCTTTTTGAAGGTCCTAGTCTCTTCGATTGGTTTTGCTGACCGGTTTTTATGCTTTAGGATCCAACGTACAAGTTCCCCCTGAAGTAATTGTACTCAATTCTATTGTACTACCACACAAGGAGTTGACCCGAAGTGTCAAAAATCAAATTATTCTCTAGGTGGAGATTGCGTTACTTTCTTCCCTCAATCCCTTTTCTGCGTGTTACTCAATATTATTTTCCCCTCTCCCTTGCCTATGTCATCCAAAACATTTTTCTTTGCGTATTTCTGGATCTCTCTCCCTCTCTGCAGATTGTGTGGTTGAACACGAAGTGAATGCGGTGTATACGGGGGCACTGAATTTATTATGAATTGATTAGCGCCTCCAGCAACCATCTCTAATCAAGGGTTCGAGCTTTTAAGCACTTAATAGATGTATATAATTCGGTAGATAGTAAATGGCTATTTTCCTACCATCATTGTCGAATGGCAAGCATATAAAACTTAGAGTGACTTCGGTAACAAGAAAATCAGTAACATCTCCATGTGTCATGTTTGAATTGACTTCCTGGGTTTATTATGGAGGTATTGTACCATTTTCAGTGGGTGCAAGTACCATTATCTACTAATTTTACTATGATAATCTAGGCCACAGTGTAAACAAGTTATGGGAAACATAGTCAGTAGGAATGCCTTAAAGCTGAAGGGCTTTCCGTTCGCGTGTTATTACTGTTTAGGAAGTACTCTGTTGACGTGGTTGCTAATGTGTCCGTCTGTTAAATCAGTGGTCATGTGTTTAAGTTCCATCTGCGCCCACTTCGAGAACGGAGTGATCTACCAAACTAGTTAAATGTGGCTAACGGAGAGGCCGGCTGAATTCGGGTTTCCCATTACGAAAGTTCGATAATGATAATCTAACCCCCTATGAAAGGCCTTCAAATTTTTTACATTAGGACCATTTTTCAATTATTGCTTAAATTTAGCTTGAATTGCTTGTGTGTGGTCAGTGTTTTTAATTAGTTTATTGTGCAGAAGGATGAAGATTTGGGGGACATCGGTTTGTTGGAGTCACAAAGGCCAGTTTAGAAACTATTAAATTGTTGGAATTAGCACACCTAATCGTAGAATCTAAGATACGGAAGAGGTTGTATAGACCATAGTCTATTAAATAATCCATAATGAGGAATCGCAGAAATGGCGGGGTAGCATACAGACCTAAAAAAAGGCGATCGCGCATTTTGAATGGAGACACGTTGACGTTTAATATGGGTCACATGGACGAGGGTGCGGTTTGGGAATTGAGTACGGATATACTTGTAATTGAAAGGGGAGAGTGATTAAATTCAATAAATTCTTCCAGAGATATAAAATCGAAAAATGGGTTTTCGCATGGTGTGACTGGCATACTTAGAGTAGATATTAAGAGAGTCGTCCTTCATTATCTTATACATTCGGTACACGTTGGCGTCTGTGTCTAAATTGATGCATCTTGCAGCAATCCTATTCGGCAAACCAGTGTTATAATTTGATATTTTTCAACATTTCAAATTCTAAACTTTCTCATGTGAGATCTTGCTCACTTCCAATTACTAACATTATGAAGTAGTGCCCGTACCATTATACCTACACATTTGATTCGAAGTGGCACTTGCAATACAGATCGCTTATCAAGCTATTGTTTGGGGGGTCATTTAGAATGTTTGATAGATCAAACTATCTGAATTGGCATATGTGGGCAAATCGAAAAGAAACTATTCTAACCTATTTTTCCCCAGTTTTCACTATTACAGATAGATATCTCACCTACCCACCTTTCTGGAGATATCTAGGCCTTGTCATTTCCCCAAATAACTTTTGCATCAGCTAAATAACTCACTGCAATTAAGAAGGAGAGTAGCATGACAAAAGAAACGAACTTTGTTTCACTCAAATACGCATCTCAAGCGTTCTTGAAATGTAATAAACATGGAATACCAAGTCATGTTTGGGTTAGTATGTGTAAAATCAAGAAGTGCAATTGTTTATTTTTAATATAGAACGATGCGAACCGAGAGTACCTAGGGATTAACCGGGTTAAACAAGGACCTTCCAATAAGGAGATACCCCACGAATTGGTCGCAATAAAGCCGAGTGCCCAGTGTGCCTACTTATTAAGAGTGACTCAATAGCCCAGGCCGGCCTCCAAATAATTATCAGCTCAATTATTGTCCCAATCAAACATTTTCTTGCTGCTGCGGAGTTGCGTTACCAAATAATTACAAGTTATTAAGCATGGGAAACGACGCTGGAAGTCACGAATCCATGTGGTTAAATCGATTTGCATATCACTAACGTTTTAAGAGAATTATGGGAAACTTATACTTCAAATGATTTTACTGATATTTAATAAGTAAGAATTCCATTAATTGTGCTAGATACACTACTTAAAATTTATTCAGTCTCTCTTCTTAATTTTACTCTGAATTATGTTGGTTTAAGCAATTTCATAAGGCCTTTCAATGTTAACAATAGATTAATGTTGATAATGGCGCTCGCTTCAATAAGAGCTTCAGTTACTGTATTGCTGGCGGCATAAACGTTGAAAGTGTTCTTTTAAATTTTCTATGATTGGCTTGAATGATTAAATAATTACTGAAGTAATTTATTAACTTGGAGGTGTAAATTGACTAACTTTTACGAAAAATAGAGGCAGGTATATGGTGTTTTTTAGTCTCTAGCAGAAGGATTAAGTAGACGAAATGGTCAAGCACTGTATGACCGCTGTTATTATAAGAATAGCAACGCCACTTTGGTCGTATAGATTATAAACAAGCGTATCAGATGATCATTTTAAGCATGCTCAGATTATGTCAATTTTCGTGATATTGATATGCTAAGGAAGATACGAGCTCGGTTTAGGCTCCCTCGGCTTCGTCCACCAACGAATATATTAATTCCTCCAAGGCGTTTGTATCCGATATAATAATAATTTCGAAATATTTGAATTCAGTGATTGCTTCACTTAATTCCTTTCAAGATACTTCTCAATATCGTTAGTTTCACCTTTAAGTGGATGGAAGGTGAACACGACCTGTGAAATTCAACCAGACGTTCGTATACTAATAATTCCAGATTTCAAATAAGAATCTGTTCAGTATGCTTGATACTTACAAAGATTATTAAAGGCTGCAGGTGGAGCAAATTGCATTTGGTAGTGACGTCAAAAATGTTTTCTTTTTTAACTTTTAAATTAGATGTTCTCAATCTAAATATGTTCACTTAGATCGGGATGCCCTGCGAATTATTGACTGATCATGTGGGACACATTATCACTGTGTGCGTCATCGTATGCCTGCATGTCTGCTCGCCAGGATTGGGAGGTGCGGCCGTACAACTCTGGGTGCAGTGACAGTACAAACAGTGACCAATCATCAACCTCTGTTTAACCTATTCCCCCATCCTGATCATGAGTAGCTCCCTGCGTGTACACACTTTATCCGCAATATACTCACCGAATAAATGTGCTCCGCGCTACACGTCTGTTTCCTTTATAGCTGGGCTATAGCTTAGGTGGTTCGGGGAGTCTAGCTAGATGTAGGAGGATCTGCCATAGAGATTTCTGAGTCAGTCAGGCTTTAATAAAGTAGCAATCCGCTACAATTACTTGGCA